CACTGCGGTCTGCCATGCTGCTGTCCGCGAATGCAATGCGCTGCCTGCAAGTAAGGCGGCGGCGTCCACTTGTCTCAGAAGATGTTCCCGCGGGCCCGAAGGGCGACCGCCAGCTCGAGCCGCGGCGCCGGCAGGCCAGATAAGGATCATGCAACAGCAAAGACGATGACAGAGCAACGAGGTATCGGCGAGTGCATGACCGGCCTCCGTTTCCTGCACTTCTTTCCTGTAGTTCCCCTAGCTCATCGAGCTCAGCAGATGTTTCTGCGGGTCCGAAGGACGACCGCCAGCTCGAGTCGCAGCGCCACGTGGCACGAACCGCAGAGCAAGGGCACGCGAGCATTGCTCGTGGTCAGAATCTGAGTCCCCGTGGTGCCTCACTCCGCTGGCCACCCACCAGCAGCCCTCGAAAGTGGCGACAGTTTCACAGATCGCAGCCGCCCAGGGGTGGCGAGGTCTAATCTGAGTCCCCTCACTCCAACTCACCAGCAACCCTCGAAAGTGGCGACAGTTTCACAGATCGCAGCCCCCCAGAGATGGCGAGGTCTAATCTGAGTCCCCGTGGTGCCTCACTCCGCTGGACCCACCAGCAGCCCTCGAAAGTGGCGACAGTTTCACAGATCGCAACCCCCCAGAGATGGCGAGGTCTAATCTGAGTCCCCGTGGTGCCTCACTCCGCTGGACCCACCAGCAGCCCTCGAAAGTGGTGACAGTTTCACAGATCGCAGCCCCCCCCCAGAGATGGCGAGGTCTAATCTGAGTCCCCGTGGTGCCTCACTCCGCTGGACCCACCAGCAGCCCTCGAAAGTGGCGACAGTTTCACAGATCGCAGCCCCCCCCCCAGGGATGGCGAGGTCTAATCTGAGTCCCCGTGGTGCCTCACTCCGCTGGACCCACCAGCAGCCCTCGAAAGTGGTGACAGTTCCGCAGATCGCAGCCCGCCAGGGATGACGTGAAAGGCAAGAGAAGAGAAGAGGAGGAGCGAAGAGAGGAGGAGAAGGCAAGCAAGAGAGGAGAGGAGGAGGGAAGAGAGGGGGGGGCGGGAGGAGGAGAACGGAGACCGCAGTGCTCTATTCAAAACAAGTACCCAACGCAGGAGGGTTGGGAAAAAGACGAAGGAGGGCGTGGAAAAGCAAGGGGGAGGAGGACCAGGAAGAGGACGTGGACGGGCGGGGCGAGGACGGGGGGAACGAGAAGGAGGAGGAGGCGGAGGAGGAGGACCAGTCTAAACCCAAGACCCATCAACGATGTGGCAGTAAACCATCCATCCAGTTTTTTCCCCTCATAGGCCTCTACAAAGATTCATGTCCACTGAGGGAAGTGCCCCGTTGGATGACAGCCAAATGAAAATCCAGAACCGCTCCGGAATTCCATTCCCGGGACTTCATCGCCGCGAATGAACCTTACTGTCGCGTCCTGACGATCCTGAATCGTGCCGCTAGATCACTCCTGCGACTTAAACACCGCGAATCAACTCAACTGTTGCGATCCGACAATCCTACATCGTGCTACGGCGCTGCTTCTTTTGTCATTACGCAAAAACACCACGGCTGACGCAACCACACCGCGAATCAAAAGGTCGCCAGTCAAACCAGGAACACCGCACACGCCGACCTGCAATAAGCAAACTCGCGGCATGAGCCGTGGCCCGAGCAACACATCGGCAATGCAGCTGCGACAGGGGGGAGCAGGGCAGAGGACGAAGACGCGGAGACAGAGGAGGAGGACGGGAGGCGCCGACCATCTTTGCGCCCAGAATTCATCGCCAAATGTTTCGGCCGCGCGCTAGGCCTCGGGCCCAGGCAGGACGCAGGAGAGTCGGGGACTAACGACTGAAAAAAAGTAAGCTCAAAGGGCAAAGGCGCGCCCCAACGAATAGCGTGAGAACCCAAACGCCGCGAGACCGACAACGCACGTTCGCGGAGGCGGTGACTAACGAAGACACCTGGCGAACTGATACTGAAACACGGCGGCCGCGCCTAATCAAGACGCCCGGCGCAGCAGACGGGCAACGACGCGCGGCCGGCGCGGAAGGGACGGTGCCAGGGCTCTGGCGCGGCGGCCGCCCCTGGTTGCCGAGCGCTTTGCCTGGACACCCCTAGGACGGGAGGGGGGGCAGGAGCAGGGGGGGAGAGAGGAAGAGGGCGAGGAGAGGAGCCGTGCACTTGCTCTCATGGCAACAACGACTCTCCTCGCGGTATATTCCGTGCGTCTGACGCCCTGGCACAAGCAACACAATCGCCGATTGACTGCAACGGGTGCTCGCTGGAGCCCCACAGCTTGTCTGCAGGGCGGGGGCGGCCTATGAAATTCAAACTGTAGTTCGAAACCGGGGCTTCTGCGGTTCACCCCCAAACCTCCACGGTGCTTTTAGCGGTTTCTTTGTTTTCTATTTTTTGGTTCAGAACCAACCCAATGGAACAGAAGGAATTATCACTCCAAAGAGAAGGCCTCAGGGACGCATAGAAATCGGACTGCAAGATGCAGACTGTCGAAGAGCTCGTGGGACGGGAGGCCGCACGCGTCGCATGGCTCGAAATCGGACGGCTCGGCAGCTCCGCGGCGTCGTCGACGCGCAGGATGCCCGTCGGCTCGAGCAGGGAATGCGACGCCGGAGAAGAACCCAGCCCAGACCACGACGACGGCGATCCTGATGAGGTGTGCTGCGAGCGCGTCGCCGAACAAACCGCCCTGGCAATCGCCGCCGTCGGTGGTCGCGCAGAGCCGCGGAGAGGGCCTTGTCCAGGCCCCATGTCGCAGATGACCGCGGCGATCGCACCCCAGATGCCGCGGGGGCCGTGGACCGAGACCGCGCCCACCTGGTCATCGATCTTGAGCTTGCGGGGCAGCATGGAGGCGAGCTCGCACGCGAAAGCGCCCACGAATCAGATCGCCAGCGCGCTGCCGGACTCCACGTTGCCGCACGGCACCATGATCGACACGAGGCTGGCCAGGATGCCGTTGCAGCAGTACGCGTAGATGGCGAACTGGACCGCAGCGGCAATGGCGGCGTTCATGGCCACGTGGGCCGCCAGCTCGCCCGCAGCCGCGTCCATCCCGAGAGTGGAGCCACAGTTGAAGCCCTACCAGCCGAAGCTCAGGATGGAGGTTCCCAGGGCCACGAGGGGCAAATTGTGCGGGTCGAGCTCCTCTGGGTTCGTCCACCGCCACTTGCGCGGGCCCAACACGACGGTGCCAGCGAGCCCGTCGACGCCCCCGGTGAGGGGCACGATGCCGCTGCCCGCGAAATCGATGACCCCCACGTCGAGCAGCTGCATGACCCATCTGTAGCCCCAGGTCCACGCGACGACCACGGGGTATATGAAGCCACTCAGGAACACGACATAGAACCCGCACGTGGAGCTGATCACCCGCTCGGGGACGGCACCGCTGACGATGGCGGTAGCGACTGTGCAGAATGCCCACCTGTGAGGTCCCCTAGATGCTCTCCAAGGATGCCATCCGATGATACGTATGATCGAACACGCGGGTACCGCATCAACGTTTTCCTGGCACTGTCACTGGCGGCACAAGGGCAGCTGTTCTTGAGCCACCTTGAGCCATCGGTGGAGCTCCCTCGAAGCAGCCTCGGGCCAGGGGTTTGGGCCAGGGCACTACTTCTGGCACGTCAACCACGAGCGTCCGCGAAACTGCTGCATACTCTTAAGATCCATGTGCGCGGCACGGAAGCGAGGGCCACATGTTGACGACGGCCCGTCTTCGATCCGTGAAACTCATGCAATTGTTTTGTTCCTGCTGGGCGCGCGGAAGCACGCTTGGGCGCCCGGGAGCCGCCGCGTCGGAAGCTGCAGCGTCGTGGAAAATCAAAATCGTGCCACCTCGTGCCTGGTGGCGAAGCAGGAGGCGGGGAGGGGAGGAAAGGGGGGGAAGGGGAGGGGGAAAGGGAGAGAAAGGGGAGGGTCCGGGAATTCGAACTTTCATCACGACGAGTGTGCGCGGCGCCGAAGGCGAGATCCCCATTTTGAAAGCGGTTCGCCCTGCGTCCGTCCAGAGCCTCCGCCCTGCCGACGCGTCTCGGGGCGCGACGAGGAGGAGCTACTTCGAAACAGGAGGGACGGAGGAGGAGGGGGGGGGATGAGAGGGAGGGCGAGGGCTGGCGGCGCAGGAGGGCAGAGGGGCCCCAGGAAACACACATGAATAAACACATGCCCAAAAATCCCCGTGTTTGTCCATAGTCTCTGGACGGTCCTCTTCCCCCTGTTCTCAGTGGCTCTCCATATCGTCTGATCGACATGCATCGTTGTGCCTGCCTAGTTTTCCCTCCCGAGATGGCTGGCGGAGGCAAAGGAGGAGGGCAGCCGAAGAGAGAGGGGCAGTGGAGGAGGGAGGGCGGTGAAGGCAGAAGAGGCCCTGAGGGCGCACACACGTGTGGGCTGGTGAATGAGCACGGGACCGGGAATAAGTGCAGCATCCTCGCATCATTCCTGATCTCTTTCGTCGTTTCTGCTATCCGAGATAAGGGGGGCTTTGCGAGACGGGGACTTATCCATACCCACCGCCCGGAGACCGACGCCCCGGGGACGCAGCGGGCGGTGGATGTGGATATTTTGGCCTCTGGGGGCCCGAATAGATTCATATATATATATATATAACAAATAAATAAATAAATAAATACATACATAAATAAATAAATAAATAAATAAATAAATAAATAAATAAATAAATAAATATATATATAAACAAATATAGATACATAAATATATATATATACATATATACATACCCACCTCCTGTGCACCCAGACATCCGGCCGCTCCAATTTTTTCGACGCGTGGGTCCTGGAGGTCTGGACTACTTCCTTGGGGCCGTCCGAAATAACTGTGCGACGGTCCCGAGGCCCGGCGGAGACCCCCAGGAGGCCGAAAAGAGCACAAAACCCGCCGCTCCAATCTTGGGAGCGTCGGATCTCTGGGGAGGTCTCCGAAAATCGGCCCTCCCAGCGATGGTGATGTATAAAATCCCCTCCTCGGGGGCCTGGCCTGCGCGCCGCCCATGGCCGCGGCCGCGAGGGCATCCGCGGCGCACGCCGCGCGTGGATGGCGCTGGGAGGGAGGGCTGCCGGGGGGGGGCGGCCGAGACGCCTCCGAACCAAAGGGGGTCGCCACGTGCCACGGTGCACGTACGGTGGCCTCGCTGCGGCCACGCAACAGTCAAGCTGCAGAGGATGGACGCGTCTGTCGCCAGCGGCATGCCCGGACTGCGGAGCATCCAGAGCACCGGGCGCACCTCCTCGGTGCACGCACCTTCCCTCCAACCGGCCTCCCTGCCCACTTCCCCCTCCCTCCCTCCTCCCTCCACCGGCACCCCTCTTCTCGGTCCCTTCGTCCTCCTCCCTGCCCTGCCCCACCCACCCTCCGCCATTTCCCCCTCGCTCCCCCATCCCCCTCCCTGCCCCCTCCGAATCGGGGGGAGGTGACTGCCTCCTCCCCTCCTCCCCCTACACGAGGTGAAGGCAGGTCTCGAGTAGGGGATCGACTGCACAATTGAGTTGTCCCGACATCTATTTTCTGTCGAGTCTACGAGAAATGCGTGCAATGTTCGTCGATCTACGAAAAGCTGTTTACTTTTCGCTGGTTCGACTGACGAGCCAATCTTGGCGCACATAAATAATAGAGTCGATCCCAAACTCGAGAGAAGACAGGATGAGGACAGACTCAGCTGGTAAGTCGGGAATCCCTCCGGCCCTCTGGGCGTGAGTGTTTGAGGGTGCTTCCGCTTCCAACCCCCATCTGCCCCTTCGGAGATGGATTTCTCACTGTCCCCTAATAATAAAACACACACACCAGGCAACCAGCAGTCATCCAGAACAACCAAAACCCACCCCACCATCCCTGTCGAAAAACATTTTAATTCAAAATACACTATGGGGCAAAATATTGGGTCATGCTCGTGGGCTCCGCGAGCACTTTGCATTGTTTGCGTTGACAGATAGAGCGGGGGGGTATCATATTGTCTGCTGCGCGCAAGGCCACCATCCCTGTATAAAACCATACAGAATACAGTTCGCGAGGCAATCTGGATCATGCGCGGCCACCCCGCGATCATTGTCCATGGCTTTTGACAAGACGAGCTGGCATATTGCCTCGTGTGTGTGCAGGCCCATCTAACACCATGATGGCCTCCCCGCAGCGATTGCGCATTGGTTTCCGCCAAGGATGGTGGGGGGCGACATATTTCCCGATGTGTGCTGTCACGTGCGCAGGCGCACCTGGCACACCCTGCGCGTGCCCCAAAAGTGGCACACCTGGCGCGGCTGGACTATGCGGCACACATGGAGCGCGTGGAGCAAGCGGCACATCTGGCGCGCCAGGGGCGCCTGGCGCGCGTGGCGCCCCTGGCACCCGTGGCGCACCTCGCCCCGGCTTCGCGCATATAGGGTCGGTCTTGGTTTCCAATAGATGCCCATCCACAGACGACCGCTGTACATACTGAGGTTCGGGTGCTACTTAAGTGATGCGGCGGCGGGCGGGAGTGAGCGAGGCAGCTTGCGGGCGAGGACGGTGTCTTGATCACTGTTCCATATTAGTGATACCGGAGAAAAAACCCAATCAGAATATGTTTGGGGCTATAGGGTTATAGGGCTATTGGGCTATAGTGCTATAGGGCTATAGGGCTATAAAGCGATTATAGGGCTATAGGGCTATAGGGCGATAGGGATATAGGGCTATAAGGCTATAGGGCTAAAAGGCACCGGGCACCCGGGCACCCGACACCCGGCACCCGGGCACCCACCCCAGCACCGGGCACCCGGGCACCCGGGCACCCGGGCATCCGGGCACCTGGGCCCGGCCACCGAATCGGCGGCGAACTCGGGCACCTGGGCATGTGCCCGGGCCCGGCTACCGAATCGGCGGCGAAACCGTGCACCCGCGGGCACCCGGGCACCCGGGCACCTGGGCACCCGGGCCCGGCCACCGAATCGGCGGCACAGCTCACCTACCCTTACATCCGCTAGGACCCCTACAGAGGCAAGCTCTGATTGGGGAATATACACCCCCTCTCCCAGCGGAACGGCGTACAACCAGGAACCCTGAGGACGCCATGCCGACCCGCCCCACCACCATCCCTGTCATATTATACCTGAGAAAACCCAATCAGTGGATGATTCGAAAATTGATAATATGGATCTTGAAATCGATTGTGAGATCGAAAATGGGATCGATAGTAGAATCGATAGTGAGGACGATTGTAAGGTCGATCGTGAGACCGAGAGTGAAATCGATTCAATGAGATCGATAGTGAGATCGATCGCGAGATCACTCATGCGATCTCTAGTGAGATCGCTTGTGAGATCGATAGTGAGATCGATTTTGAGATCGATGGTGAGATCGATAGAGAAGTGGGTAAGGAGATCGATGGTGAGACCGATCGATAAGAAGATCGACCAGGAACCCGGGAACCCAGGAACCTCGCCGCCCTCCGAAATCGGCCCGGAACCCGGGGAACCGGGAACTCGGGAACCCGGAACCGGGAACCTGGGAACCCAGCGTGCGACCAAAATCGGCGGGAAACTTTCGCCAAATCCTTCAAACTCCGCGAGGACCCCTTCAGTGCAAGCACTGATTGGGAAAACAATACAAACCGTACTCTGCCTCCACATTTGGAGCATGCGCGGCCAACCCGATGCGGCCCCCCTACCCTCCCTGTCAAAAAACAATGCCAAATACACTTTGGGCCAAAGTCCTGAATCATGTGCGTGAGGCCCGAGACCAATTTGCATTGTTTTCGACGGGACGGCGGGGGTGCCAGCATATCCCCTGCCGACCCCAGGGCTACCATCCCTGACAAAAAAAATACAACATGAACCTTGCGGCTAAATCTGGATCATGCGCGGCCATCCCGCGATCACTGTCAAACCGTTTTTGACGGGGACCGCGGGGGCGGTGGCGCGCGGCCTGCTGTGCGCAGGCCTACCAGACACAACGATGGGCATTAGTTTTCGACAAGGATGGCGGGGGCGACATGATTCCCGATGTGTGCTGTCACGTGCGCGAGCGCACCTGACGCACCCTGCACATGCGCCGAACATGGCGCACCCGGCGCGGCTGGAGTGCGCGGCACACCTGGCGCACTCGGAGCACGCGGCGCATCTGGCGCACCAGGCGTGCCTGGTACGCTCTGGCCCCAGGGGTGCCTGGCGCGCGCGGCGCACCTGGCACGCGTGGCGCACCTCGCCCAAGCCTCGCGCACCTGGGGTCGGCATTGGTTCGCAGTACCTGTCCATCCAAAGACGACCGCTGAACATGCGCAGGAAGGGGTGTTACTTCTGAGTTGGGAGGGCGGGTGGGAGTGAGCTAGACGGCTTGCGGGCGGGTGGGGCAGCTTGACCCCTCCCCCTACTCCCGCCCCCCGGACCTGGACGGGGCGGCCCACGGGTCGTTAGAGCGTCCAAGATGGCCCGAGATGGCTCCAAGAGAGCCTCGGCGAGTCTAAGATGGCCTTGGAGATGGCTCAAGATAGCGCAAAATGGCTTCCAAGATGTTCCAACAGGTCCCAAAAATCCTCAGACGGGCCAAAGCGGGCTAGGGGCCTTCCCAGGACGCCCCCAAGAGGCCAAACACTTTTGTTTGAGCAACAGATAAACAACGACGTTAGCCCTCCCGCCCTTTCATTCCGATGGCTTCCCGAAACATCGAGATGGCTCCAAGAGGGCCCAAGATGGGCCCAAAGTGGCCTGAGATGGCCACGAAGGTGCCCAAGGGCGCCCCGAGAGCGCCCCAGGAGGTCCCCAAGAGGCGACGCTGATTGAGTGCCCCCTCCATGATCAACGAGAAGGTTGAAGCGCACACCAAGGCGTTGAACGATGCTTGGCTCGTCGGGGGCATGTTTGGGAGGCGTTTGCCCCAGGAGGGTTCCGAGAGGGCCAGATGCTTTAAGATGACCTCGAAAAGGCAAAACATGGTCCAAACCGGCCCAAGATGGCCTCCAAAATGACTCCTAACGGCCTCATGCCGGCCCCAAGATGGCGCTCAGCGGCCGCGGGGATTCCCAAGGAGGCCCCCAAGTGGCCAACATCCGCCCAAAAACCCTAGGACAACGAAAGAGATTGGCCTTCTCGCCCGTTCGCTTCCGATGGGCCCCACACGCCTCCAGACGTTTCCAAGAGGGTCCAAGATGGCCCCAAAACAGCCCCAAGAGCGCCCCGGGAGGGCCCGAAGAGGCGACTTTGGGAGCTCCACAGGCGATGCGAATGAAGGGCCGCCCCATATTTGATCGATGGCCCCCAATATGTCCATGGAAAAAAAAGCCCGCAAGACGGCCCCAAGATGACCCAAACAGGCACCCAAGCGGCCCAATAGGCCCCCAAGACGCCCCCAAGAGGCTTCCAAGCGGCCCCCTCGGAAGCCGCAAGACGCCTCCAAGAGGCACACAAGACGCCCGAACTTGAAGGCACTGGGTGATCATAGCTACTTAGCCCTAGTTGTAATTACGTTGTATACGACGGATAGGTATGCGGCACGTTTGCTGTACCATGTTACAATGTTACAACTAAGCAATACCTGTATATGCGTTGTATGCCCAGGTGCTGACTTTAGGCGCAACTATAAGTCATGGCCTGCTCTCTCATGTATAATATGCTTCTGAGAACAACAATGCTGCCATTGATTATTGGAAGCGCCAAGCTCATATTCCCCCGCTGTCACCACGCAGGATTGCGAGTTCTTGCAGCGCATGCATGGGTGTCGAATTGAACTTGCATTGGAAAGTTGAACGTGATGTTGACTTCCGTGGAACAACGTGGCTCAAGAAAGTGCGCGCACTGCCGTTCGACGTGCATATTGCAACATGACGTTGCATGCCCTGCATGATGTTACAGAGCGTGCGAATCAAAATTGGCAAGTACATGCACGCCTCACATGGTTGCGATAGAACACGCATTTGACAGAGGGTGATTTGGCTGTTGACTTGCATGAGGAAGCAAAAAGCATTGCCACACAATCGAGATGCTGACCAAGGACAAGTTGCGCTCCAAATATATGTATGTGGGCACGGGCAACAGATACGAAGACGGCATTGCGCCGTCGGAAGTGACAGATTTGATCATACAACGGTTCAACAACATGTTTAAGCACGACCATAT